CCCTCCCTAAAAAAGAGAATAAAAGGCTGAGGTAGAGTGCATTCTGCAATGCAATGCTGGGCAATGCTAGGCAATATGTTTGCAGATCTGTCTACCTGCCAGCTTCCATCATATCTGTGTGTCTGTCTTTTTTGTATATATTTCATCTCTCTCTTTCTCTATCACTTTTGGCGCCAGATCTCCCTTCTTCATGACACCCACACTTCCTTGTTGAGGCGGGACCCCGACATAGGACCTTGACACCCATGCTCTGTTCAAACAACTGCTTCTTGGACCAAATACAGATTCCTCATGAGTAAAATTAAGTGTTCTGGAATACTCATACTTCGCAATGTTGTCCATAGCTTGGCATGAGCCACACAATATAATAAATATTAGAGCAGAAATAAACAAGATAGAAAACAAAACAAAAAAAACTATAGAAATAAACAACAGGACAAGAAGTTGGTTCTTTGAAAGGTTTAATAAAATTGACAAAGCATTGGCAAACCTAACAAAACAAAAGAGGAAGAAGGCACAAGTAACACACATTAGAAACCACATGGGCAATGTCACAATGGAACCAAAGGAAATAAAAAAGGATGTTAACAGAATATTATGAAGAGTTGTACTCCAGCAAGTTTAAAAACTAGAAGAGAAGGATACATTTTTAGAAAAACATGACCTACCTAAACTTACACAGAGTGAAACAGAAAACTTGAACAGACCTATAACAAAAGAAGAAATTTATCAGGTCATCAAAAAACTCCAAACCAAAAAAAACACCAGGTCCAGATGGCTTCACTAGTGAGTTTTACCAAACATTCAGGGAAGATCTGTCACCAATTCTACTCAAATTATTCCAGAATACAGAAGAGGATGGAAAACTTCCTAATACATTTTATGAAGCATGCCTAACCCTCATACAAAAACCAGGGAAGGACATCACTAAGGAAGAACATTATAGACCAATATCTCTCATGAACATAGATGCAAAAATTCTCAATTAAATCCTAGCCAACAGAATCCAACAAACACATCAAAAAGATATCATGATCAAGTTGGATTCATATCAGGGCTGCAAGGATGATTCAGTATTAGAAAAGCAATCAGTGTAATCAACCATATGAATAAGAAAAAGGAAAAGAACCACACAATAATATTGATTGATGCAGAAAAGACATTTGACAAAATACAACATCCATTCCTGATAAAAACCCTCAACAAAGTAGGAATTGAAGAGAAATTCCTCAACATAATTAAGAGCATATATACAAAACCAACAGCCAACATAACTATTAATAGAGAGAAACTGAAAGCCTTCCCTTTGAGAACAACAACCAGACAAGGATGCCCTTTGTCACCACTCCTATTCAAAATTGTGTTGGAAGTCTTAGCCAGAGTTATACAACAAGATAGGGAAATTAAAGGCAAATTGGCAAAGAGGAAGTAAAGCTCTCTCTATTTGCAGATGATATGATCCTAGACATAGAAAACCCCAAATCAAAAAATCTACTAGACCTCATTTGAAGATTCAGCAAAGTGGCAAAGTACAAGATCAGCATACAAAAATCAGTTGGATTCCTCTATACTAATAATGACAGCACTGAAAAGGACATTAAGAAAGCAATACCATTTACAATACCTTCTCAAAGGATGAAACATTTAGGAATAAATGTAAACAGTGAAACAAATGACCTATACAAAGAAAACTATAAAACACTACTACAAGGAACCAAAAGAGACCTACAAAAATGGAAGAATATACCACGATCCTGGATAGGAAGACTTAACATTGTGGAAATGTCAATACTGCCCAAAGCAAACTATAAATATAATGCAATCCCACTCCAGATTCCAACAACATTCCTCAAAGAGATGGAAAAAAAAAAATTATAAGCTTTATATGGAAGGCAAAGAGACCCAGGATAAGCAAAACACTGCTTAAGAAGAAGAACAAAGTTGGAAGCCTCTCACTCCCTGATTTCAAAATTTACTACATGGCTACAGTGGTCAAAACAGCCTGGTACTGGTACAATGAAAGATACATAGTTCAACAGAACAGAATTGAGAATCCAGAAATTAACCCATCCACATACAGCCAACAGATTTTGACAAAGTGCTTAGGTATATTGTATGGGGAAGAGATAGTCTCTTTAACAGATGGTGCTGGCAGAACTGGAAAGCGATATACAAAAGATTGAAATAAGACCTTTACCTCATGCCATATACAAACACCAACTCAGCATGGATTAAAGACCTAAATGTGAACCCCAAAATTATAAAGGTCATCAATGACAAATTAGGGACAAATCTGAGGACTCTAATACAGGGTACACACAGACTACCAAACATTGTGAAAATTGAAAAAACAAAAGAAGACAAAATAGATGATTGGGACATACTAAAAATTACGAAAAAAAGCTTCACCAAAAGAGTAAAAAGGGAGCCCACAGAATGGAACAAAATCTTCAGCAATGATGTATCAGACAAGGGACTAATTTCTAATATACATAGAAAACTACAATACCTCTACAAGAAAAAGACAAATCGCCCCATTGAAAAATGGGCACAGGACATGATCAGACACTTCACCAAAGAAGACATTCGGGCAGTCAACAAACATATGAAGAAATTCTCATGATCATTAACCATTAGAGAGATGCAAATCAAAACAACACTGAGATAAAATTTCACACCAGCAATAACAATGAACTTCAAAAAAGTGGTGGTGGTGGTGGTGGTGATGTGCCGTGGAGTCGGTTCCGACTCATAACGACCCTGTTCCGAGGCTGTAAATCTTTACGGAAGCAGAAAGCCACCTCTTTCTCCCATGGAACACCTGGTAGTTTTGAACTGCTGACCTTGTGGTTCACAGTCCGATTCATAACCACTATGCTACCAGAGCTCCAAAAAAGTAGAGGACCATAAATGTTGGCAAGAATGTGGAGAGACCGGGACCCTCCTACATTGCTGATGGGATTGCAAAATGGTCCAACCACACTGGAAAACTGTATGGCACTTCCTCAGAAAGTTGGAAATAGAAATAATTTATGATCCAGCAAGTAATCTACTTAGTATTTATCCACAAGAAATATGAGCCATAACATGAGTAGATATATGCACACTAAAGTTCATAGCAGCACTATTCATAATAGCAAAAAGATGGAGACTGCCTAAGTGCCTGTCAATGAAAAAATACACACAATGGAATATTATGCTACCTTGAAGAGACTATGAACCTGAATCTCTTAGCTAGAGAGCTCCCAGATTCCTGACCCACAAAAACTGAGATAATAAATGTCTTTTCAGTCACTAAGTTTTGGAATAATTCGTTGTGTAGAAACAGACACTAATACACAAGGCTTGCTGTTGTTGTTTGTCGTTAAGTGCTGTTGAGTCAGTTCTGTCTCATCGTGACCCTGCATAGGGTTTCCGAGGAGTGGCTGGTGAGATTGAACTGGTAACCTACCGGTTGAAACCTTGCAGTCCAGTGCATTAACCCGTGGTGCCACACCAGAACTCCACATGGCTTGCTGGCAATACTCTTTATCTTACTTTTTAGGCTGAGATATCAGGCTGAGTCATGGAAGGTCGGTGTGAAATGTAGGAAAGATAAAATTAAGGTTGAGATCTTAAGACATTTTATTTGTTGAAGAGTTAAAAAAGAGCACTTATACATTTATAAAACCTTATCTGATAAAGAAATAGCATCAGAATTCTTCTAAATAGAATTATCAGCTAACCTATTAGAGATACAGGTGCTACTGAGTTCTCAGTGACTATCTATGTAAACCAAAAGCTAAGAGACTGATTGAAGTCAGCATATGAATCACTGGATTGTTTCTTCTGGAAAGACTTAGAATAAATTGGCAAAGCCCTTTAATAAAGAAATTGGACAGAAGCCTCATCCTTTGAGGGAAGAGTTCTCTGTCATTCTTGTAGCCAAGCAACTCAGTCAAAAGGAAACAGTTGTGACAATGATCCAGTGAATATGGATCCGGAATTCCCTTGGCTTGTCTTATCTCTTTCTTAACTTTGTAGAGTGGACTAAGCATGATTTAGATGCTTGAGACTGACAATGGGAAGATTCAAAAGCACAAATCCTGGACCGCCCTTTGATCTTGGACTGTAAGTGCCACAGCTTTTCTTTGTTTCTCATGTCTGAAAAACCCTCTGGTATTAGTGTCACTACCTTGAGCAGTATGGGTGCTGCTGTCAGGAGTTGATATATGATTGGTTGGCTGTCTCAGGTAGGAAATGCTTGACCAATCCCTTGTCTCTGGCTGTATGAGACAGGGGTCAAACCAAGGAAAAGATGGGAGAAAGACAAAAATCTAATCCAGGAGGTTAACAATTAGGGCTTCGTGGTGCAAGTGATTTTGAATTTTGAGAGATACAACAAGTCTCTCCAATATAGGGTCGTTGCAGGTCAGAGTCCTAGGACCTGGCTGGTTTTATCAATCTGGCAGTTCAGGGTCAGTGCAAAGGACATCCCCAATACCTGAAAAAAAGAGTGGAGAAAATGTGAGGTCTTCATAGGAGGAGCCGTCTGTCCCACAACACTTGGGATTGGCTATAGGGAAGAAGAAACTGTCCTTCCATTACTTTCAATTCCCTGTCAAGAGGTCTCTTCTTGTGCTTGAGATGGACTGAGACTAATGATGAAAGACAGTAGAGTTAAAGTGTTGGGACATCTTTTAGCTCCTTAAATCAGCTAAGTTGTGCTGCTGATACAGTCAAGTTCTGCATATTGAACACATTGTGTGGTGAGTTGTCTTTACCTACCCCTATACCCTCTTAGTTTCCATGCAGAAAAAAATATTTTTCTCTGATTAAATTTTGCTAATCTGTTATACATGTGGGTAGAAAAATGGCCAAAATATCACATAATGAAAAAAGGACCCCAAACTACCACCAATCAACCCAGACTTGGCAATGTATGCATACATTTCATGATCAATTCTTAAATAGCATGCTAGACCACTTTTTTCAAGTTTATTGAAATGTTTAATTCATCACAGGCTCTTTTCCATACCACTTGAATGATGAACCAAAGTGGGAATCTGTTTGACAGTGAATCACTCATATCTCTGAGGGATATATTGACCAGATAAATCTTCTTGTGACATGGTTTCTGGAGATAAAAGCACTAATAATATCATTTGCTACTTAACTGGGGGGATCTCATATACTAATAAGAATGTTATTATTGTTAGGTGCCATCGAGTCGATACCGACCCATAGCAACCTTATGTACAGCAGAATGAAACACCACCTGATCCTGGGCCAACCTCACTACTCTTGCCACGCTTGAGTCCATCAATGCTGCCACTTGGCCAATCCAGCTTGCTGGGGGTGTTCCTTTTTTTCTCTGACCCTCCACCTTACCAAACATGATATCCTTCTCCAGCGACTGGTCCTTCCTGACAATATGTCCAAAGTATGAGAGACGAAGTTTGGCCGTCTTGGCCCCCAAGGAGCACTCTGGCTGCACTTCTTCTGTAACGGATCTATTAGTTCTTTTGGCAGCCCATAGCACTTTCAATATTCTCCTCCAACACCATAACTCAGAAGCATCAATTCTTTTATGGTCTTCCTTATTCACTGTCCAGCCTTCGCATGCATATGAGGTTATTGAAAATACCATGGCTTGGGTCAGGTGCACCTTAGTCCCAAGCTGACATCTTTGCTCTTCAACACTTCCCAAACGCCAAAAACTTGATGTTTAAAAAGGAATCTGTGGGTCTTGGGAACAAAGACTTGTGCAGCAGATTTGCCTAATGCAATACGTCATTTGATTTCTTGACTGCTGCTTCCGTGAGTGTTGATAGAATAGTTAAGAATTATTTAACACATGATGCATAGCTGGTATTATTCTAAAACTTTATATGGACTATTTCATTTAATCCACACAATATTCTTACCCTTAAAATCTTACCTGGATCACACATATACAGATAGTGATGATTCCAATATACAGGAAATTGGAGTGAAACCATAGTTTTGCCTTCATATAACAACCCTAGAAAAGAATTACAGGTGCAAATTATATTATTATGGTTATGCAGCTTATAATGAAGTTTATTCAGGAAGATGGTTTTTATTTTACCTTATGCAATGCAAAGAAACAGGCAAATTATTGCATTTTGATCTTTTATGGATGGAGAAACTGAGGCATAATGTTGTTGTTGTTAAATGCTGTCGAGTCAGTTCCAACTCCTAGAGACCCTGTAGAGGGTTTCCAAGGAGCTGCTGGTGAGTTTGAACCACGGACCTTTGGTTAGCAGTCCAGTACTTAATCTACAATGCCATACCAGGACACCAAGGCATATCATAGACAGTATTAAACTAGAGGATATTCTGGTATTGTTATGATTACAGTGGTACAATAATGTAGAAGTCCTAAATTGTTACCCATTCATATAAATTAGATCCCAAGAAGCATCTCAGCAGCAGATAGTCTTTAATTCTTTGAACACTCACTGCTGACCTGGGATTTATGGGTTATGCATTCCTAAGATTGATTGGCATTTCTGCTTCAACAGGCAGTAAGTCCTTAATGGTCCTAACACACTACCACATTTCAGGGCTGGTTGATGGGTGGCTTAGTTTTCCTCCTTAGATGTGAAGAATTCTAGAGACTTCAAAACAACCAAAGAAGAGGGTAACAGACAGGAACTTAGGGACTTGATCTAGTTGGAAGAAAATTTTGGTTTTTTCTTTGAGCCTATTATGAAGATCCAAATTTGGTGGGCAGATTGTTTCAGCAGTTCCATCAACTTTCTCTTCCATCTCCTAATTCCTTCACTTTGAAGTTGATACATTTTGCTAAGGGGCTGGATCCCTGTATATCTAAGGAAGGAGAATAAAGCAAGAGGTGGAAGAGGAAGCTGTTCTATTTCAACCCTACAAATTTCACTTTCTATACAAGAAGCCCCTCCTGCTCAAGAAAAATCTAGACACTACTCTCTGTCACTTTCATATAAATTTTCTCCCTCCAATGTAGTATCTCAGTGTACTAAGATTCTTCACGGTGTCTCATGTCTAAATGAGCTTGTTCCTGCTTTTCTCTGATTTGTCTAGCTACGTGGAGTTTTCTCCCTAGTCTGTCAAAGTTCCGTTTCTGTTTGGGAGGACTAGGATTGGCATGACTGAAATGTCAAGATAATTAGAAATTTAATCAAAGAGACAAATAACAAAGAAGATAAATATATTTAAAAAAAAATACCTTAGTTTCTGCTTTTGAGGGGCAAGATGCTGGTGGTTTGTTGGTCCAATCACTTGTGCCATTTACACCACAACATTGCAGCTAAAAACCAAACCCCAAAAACATGAAGTTTAGAAAGTTAACAGAAAAGAAGTTGTGGGTCTTGGGAAGAATGGTGATTCCTTCAATTCTCTTTTTATATCAGAAAATCTAGAATTGTCCTGACCACTTTGGGTTTCTTAGAACAAAGTGCTTTCACCTTCATTTGCACCATTTCATTCACATTAAGTATTCTGTAAAGCACACAGGGCATGATTACTTTATTTAGCTTTCAGAGATAAGAGAGAGATCAAGCTGTACACACCAGACCCAATGATCAATCTTAAAATCATGAAAAGTAGGAAAATCAAGCATGTTATATGCTTATTTATATGCTACAATAGGAAGTATCACTTATAAAGTAGTCTTAGCAAAAAAATGAGCATGCATCAATCCTCTAAATGTTCAAGGTTTATAAAAACTAAGTCTCCATGACACCAAAACACCTTGAAGAAGCAATTAGCCAGATCCAGAAAGTGGAAAATTCTATAGGACAAATACCCCAATTATCCACCCACAAATAAATATCATGAGCAGAGAGGAAAAATCCATATATGTTTGGATGACATGCCTTTTAATTCTCTTTTAGCTATAGACTAAAAGAGAATTAAAAGGCATGTCATCCAAACATGTATGTGGACATTGTTTGGATCTTGATTGGAACAAACCAGTTACAAGTATTTTTTCAGAAAATAAGGGAAATTTTATTATAGACTATTTGTTAGTTGATATTAAAGACTTATTGTGAAGTTGTAGGTGTGATAAAGAAATTACCCATACCATTGAATTGATTCTGACTCATAGTGACCCTAAAAGACAGAGTAGAACTGTCCCATAAGGTTTCTGTAACCTTTACAGAAGCAGATTGTCACATTGGTCTCTGTCAGAGTGACTACTCGGCTAAAACTATCAAGCTTTTGGGTAACAGCTGAGCTCGTAACCACTGCATAACTGTAAATGTTGAAGTTAGGTGATACATACATGAAGATCTATTTTTCTATTCTTTTTATTTTTGTGGATGCCTGAAGATCCTACAATAATCCTACACATAATTGAGGAAAAAATAAAAAGAATTGGGGTTCTAGAGAGATGAAAGGACTTGCCCCAAATTATCCAGTCTTGGCTTTCGAGCTCTAATATCTGTGTTATTTCTCCTACTCTGCTCTTAGAAGGTATGACTAGGCCATGAGTGTGGTTCCATGTGGTCACAGTGATAATGTTTGAGATATAGACTGTACCAATGCCAGGAGGATTCCACTGACTCATCTTTATCCCCATCAGCAATCACCTACTGAGACAGGAATACAGAATTCCACATGCGTGTTTGCAGGTGGGGAGGGGCATGAAGAATATAAAAATATTACAAGCCTGGTTGGGGCTACTCAGGAATTCAATAGCTATTTCTTATATGATATAACTCTTGTTTGGTCTCCTGATGTGTTGTTGTAGGATCAGCACTGGACCGCGAACCACAAGGTCTGCAGTTCAAACCCACCAGCTGCTCCTTAGAAACTCTATGCTGTTGTTGTTGTTAAGTGCTGTTGCATCAGTATGGACTCCTAGTGACCCTGTAGGGTTTCCAAGGAGTGGCTGATGAACTTGAACTGCCAACCTTGCAGTTCAAAGCGACCTTGCAGTCCAGTGCATTAACTCATAGCACCACACCCTATATACAGGTGGCTATGAGTCAGAAACAACTTGATGGCACTTAACAACAACAACAATATGTGTGTTTTACTTACATCCTAGTTTTTTTCACTCTCCACTGTAGAATCGATTCTGACTCATAGCGACCTTGTGGTTAACAATTCAGTGCTTAACCCACTCCACCATCAAAGTTTCTTTCATCCTGTTGCTGTTGTTGTTGTGAAGTGCTTTCAAGTCAATTCCAACTCATAGTGACCTTGATAGGATTTCCAAAGAATGGTTAGTGGGTTTGAACCAATGACCATGTGGTTCAAAGTCCAGTGCTGACCCTACTGCATCATAAAACGACTCATTATATTCTCATAGGGCTTAAAGAACGAGTCTTTCTGAATTGGTGAAGGATAAAAGAGAGAGTGTAGAGAACTTGGTAACAGTCAGACTGGTTCCTGTGCTCCCTTGTTTATAATGCCATGGCATTATTCTGTACCTCAGAGCTGTGGACCTTAGGTTCTAAAACTTCCAAGAATGGAAGGGCTAAACTCAGGAGGATGCCCTTTGTACTCACAAATGACTGGATGGAGTCCCATGCCATCTTGGTACTGTTGTCCGAGTAGTAGTGGTGGATGCTGTCAGTCAGGCCCTCAGCCACATACACACTCAGCTGCATTCCAGCAATAGAGACATTGTAAAAAGCAGGTGAGTTTAAGGAACAAATAGTTTATAGGACTCAAGGTTAAGTTTAGCTTGTTTTCTGGTTTAATTCACTGTTTTTTTCTGAACTGTCTTCCCTGAGCTAAGGAAGTGAGGGGAGTAAGTACAAATCTGGGAAGATGAGCTGAAGGTAAGATGGTATTGAAGGATAAAGTACATGACAGACTCTTGGCTTTTCAGAATTCTGGTATACATAAGTGCAACAGGGGCCATCAAAACATGGACTGTCTTTAGGTCCTGAGATAGACACTCTTTACTGAAAACTAAGTAGTTATGGAAAGATACATTGATTTTTACTACTCTTCCCATTCATCCTTGAAGGCACCACTCAAATATAGTCTCCTTCATTAGTTGTATCTCTCTCCAGTTACAATTAATCTTTCATTCCTCCATATGTTCTCTATTATAGAATTTATTTTGTGCCAATTTCTTCTATGTCCCATTCCCAATTTCAGCAATGGCACAATGAGTTATATTCTTAATAATTTACCTTCTGTTCATACATGAAGAGCAGGATGGCCAAGGTCACCTCAGCAAGAAGGATAATCAGCAGCAAGGCAAAGAACTGTGGCAAAGTAAAGACATGCTTACAGATTGATCCAGACTCTCCTTCTACTCCCATTCTACTCTTGTAGCAACACATGTTTAGAGGATTTCTGTTCCTGCCTGTTCAGGTCTTTGAAAGCTTTGTCTTGTTTTGAAAGAATATATATGATTTTCCTACTATTAGGCTACAAGCCTCAAGGGGACAGATCAGCTATCTTGTAACATTGTTCTTTTCTATCCATTGTGCCTACCAGAGCAGTATGCACACAATACATATTTAATAACATCTGCTGAATGAAAGAGAGTAAGTAAGCAATTTGGGTAAAACCTATTGAAATGGATGAGCAAAAGGCAAGAAAATGAAATCATGTCTGGTATTTGGAGCCTGGTTCTTTCTGGAGATCAGGGTTAGTATGTGTGGGGCAACTACTGGTGGAAACTAAGAAAAACCTTGTACAGATGGAACAGAGGTGCTCTAATCATTGTCCCAAATCATATTTGTCCTTAACTTTAGACATTTAACCCCCTTATGCTAATCATGGACAACAGGAAACGTATTCACATATTTCCTCTCTACCACCTTTTAACTCCAAGAACTGATTTTGACTACTTAAAACGTGTTCCCTTTTCTATTATATCCCATCTTTTGTCATTAGTTTGGAAACTATGTGCGAACAGGTACTTTTTCTTATTGTCTCTCATCTCCAGTTTAACAACTGACACATATGATTAACCAAATGACTAAAGTAAAAGTGATTGGAAGCCTGGGATGCCAACTCTGTTCTGGGCTCATTGGAGAAATTAGTTTTTCGTTTTGTTTTTTGTTTTTCCACAGAGTTTCCAGGAAAAATTTAAACCTGAAGTTGTTTACTTAGGACAGTTCACTGAGAGAAGACAACTGAAAAACTCTAACATTCTCATTAGAGCTGCAGCCTAGACCCTCCCAAGTTGGGTAACTGCCACCACGCAGCTTCTTGTACAGATATGGGTTACAGACATGTCCTTTGTCATTTTAGTAGGGCCACAGTGCTCAGAAAAGTCTACAGACTAGAAAGATTTTCGTTTAGAGTTATTGACTCTGAATAAGTTCCTGAAGATATATACTACTTGCAAGGCGGGTTTAGATAAACTTAATCTTGGCCAGACATGGAGAAGAAATAAAATGTTATGAAGAGCAATTATGTCAAGGATTATTATTAACAGTGCAAGCTGGATACCAAAGATGGTAGGAATGTACTTTCTCGTCTTTCTCCATGGCTCCAGTCAGAAATAAAATGCTGTTGGTTTGGACAGTTTGGACAGACTGGTTGACCTGTGGTATCAGTCATATGTTTCTATGACTTCCCTGGACCTATAGGTGATCTACCAAGCAACATCTTGCCTGGGATGTTAGACACCACCTTTTCCCACTTAGGGCACCACATTCACTGCTAGGAACTTACCGACATAAGAAGGCACTTGTTTTCCTTGATGGAACCTGTGCAGCCCATGAAGGCGACCACCATGATAATGATTCCCACGATGATGAGCACATTGCCCAGTGTGAGGGAAGGGAGCTTATGGAACAGTACTCCGAAATTGTTGTGGATCAAAAGGTAGATCCCAAATCCCAAAATGCAGCAACCACAAAACTGAACAGAAGAATTCCACAACAGAAAAATATGGTTATGTTTCTTGAATATCTTCTCATACTCTCACTTGCTTTAGATCAGAATCATTTTTTTTTCCCATTGTTCTATTAAGACTCTCATGAATAGTCAATTTACCCAGCTTCCCTATGTTCCTAAAGAGAGAGGTAATCCAAGTTTTCTCTTGTGGGGTCCCATTCATACTTCATTCTATTCATTCCCACATATCAGGGAAAACCTGGTGTTCAGAGCCACACAATATCTTTACCCTATAGTAGGTCTAATTTAATGCTTCAGATCTCCTATTCCTTGTTCCTTCAACTGATCACATGGTATTCTGTTCTTGAGAACCCAAACTCTTATGAATATTCTCATAGACAAGTGAGTATCAATCTGTCCTAGGGCTGAAATTCAATCACTGAATTTGTTAGAGTGAAACCTTCTCAGGAAGAGTGATTTCCATTTCAATCAGTCATCTTCCCAAAGGGTACACACACACACACACAAAAAAAAAAAAAAAAAAAAAAAATCTGTATTTAGGTATACAGAATAAAGAGTCTCAAATTTCCCATCATAGCAGTGGACTCAAGCGCAAATCAAATCCACGGCCACCAAGCTAATTCTGACTCATAGCAACCCTGTAGAATAGAGTAGAATTTCTCCATAGGCTTTTTGAGATGATAAATCTTAACAGGAGCAAACAACGTCATCTTTCTCTTATAGAGCTGTTGGTGGCCTTGAACTGCTGACCTTGCTGCTAGCAGCAGAATGCTTAACCCATTATATCACCAGTAGCAGCCGAAAGCCCTAGGATAGGAATGACAGCCTTGTTAAAAACTGCATTGTTGTTGGTGTTAAGTGACATTGAGTTGGTTCCAACCCATAGCGACACTGTATAGGGTTTGCAAGGAGTGGCTGGTAAGCTTGAACTGCTGACCTTGCAGTTCAAATTGACTTTGCAGTTCAGTCCATTAACACACAGCACCATGCCAGCACTCCAACAGTATCTTTAAATTTTGTAGACTTATACTGTGGCAAGACAGGAAGAGGAAGAAATTATTATATCAAAGAAATTACTAGTTCTTTGATACTAATCTGGGCATGCTGCACATAATGTAGACATGGGTTACATTCCACACCAGGCTATTCAGACGAGAGAAATAGAACCTAAGTGGGAAATGGTAAGCTCAGCCATACTCAGAAGACACACACTTACCCAAAAGAACAAGTTGAAAGAAAACAGGATATACTTCAGTAATTTCAAGCTACTCATGCCCATGCTGGATATTCTTGCCCTAAAAATGAGAAGGCAGAGAGAAAATAAGTAGCCTGATTCTGCAAGGTGGCACGGGAAACCAGAGGATATAAATGTTCATTTCAAGCACCTTCAGCAACATCTTAGGTTTAAACTATGTGGCTCTGCTCTGGAAAGTCTCCCTAATCTCTCTGATGTCATTGTTTCTGAGTTGAGACATCAATTGGTTCATCCTGGACACTCATTTTTTAAAAACCAAAGATGTTTAGAATTAAAAAAAAGCAAGCAATGTAGAAGAGAATAGAGGAATCCTAAGACAAAGATGAGTCAGTGGCAAACATCAACGACAGCAAGCATTTTGGGGTCCATGTGCAGTATCAGTGATTTGTTGTTGTTGTTGTTAGGTGCCATTGAGTCGGTACTGGCTCATAGTGACATTATGCACAGCAGAACGAAACACTGTCTGATCCTGTGCCAACCTCACTATCAGTGACTAGTACTTGGGTATTCACTCAGAAAGGTCAGGGATAGGTTAGCCAATTAGCTGTGGGGAAACCCCATGGCCTGATCACCCAGTTTCTCAAATGCCCTGAAATGCATATACTTACTACATTCAGTTTGTAACCTCTTTGCTGTGTACATGAAAATAGAACATCACTATTCCTCATTCACTATTTTATTGCATCTAAAACATGCATGGTGTTTTCTGTTCTAGATGCTGTGGTAGATACAACTATGACTAAGCAATTATCCATCTTCCTGAGGCAGACAAACTCACAGTTGAGATAAAAATAAAATAAAATAAAATAAATAAAAGACCAACAGATATACAATTAATAAATGAAAAAGACAGCAACAAGAACTCACTTCTTTTTAAATAGCTTATCATTTTCTTTGTAAGGAAGGACATCAACGCCCAGTGTCTGGTTTCAATGCTAGAAACACAATTTTCAACTTTCTTTCAGTGGTAATAAGGCTTTACCTTATTGACTTATTTTTACCTTAGTGACTAATATTTAAAAATTGCATATGAGACTGATGTATAGAGCAAAATGTCAACTAATACTTGTTTTGTTTTTATCAATTTGAGCTATGCCTTTTGTAGTTCATGGATTGATTGCAGAATCTACAGTATACTCTTTGCAATGTCAAGGTACCCAAGAACCAGATGATTTCCAGACTATGGATTAAAAAAAAAAAGACCTAATGCTTAAAACATATGTTGAAATCCTAGTCCCTGTAGATGTGATCCTTCTTGGTCTACTGTGCAGTGTTCTGCTCTATTGTCCGCCAATCCTGGGAGTCATCAGCAGCCTGCCATCTGACCTGCCCAACCTCCCTGCCTATAGTCTGTCTTGCTGATCTTGGACCTTTGTTCATTGGTCCTGAAGCTACATTATTCAGAAGCCTCCAGCCTGGCATCTTACCAATAGACCTCTACAACTGTGTCAAGGATTTCATTTTACTTGGATCCAGTCAATGACTATGGAAGCAGCAGTCATAAAGGAATGAGACAATGTATTGCATTGGGTAAATCTGCTGCAAAAGACCTCTTTAAAGTGTTAAAAAGCACCATGTTTACTGGTCAGAAAGAGACTGGAGGAGCCTGAGACTATGGCCAGTGACCACCCTTCATGTCTGGAAAGGAACTCACCCTTGTGGCCCAATTTTCAGCCAAGTAGTAGAGAGATTTATAAGGAGGGGGGCAACAACACTAACAAGGTATGCTAACAATGGAATGGTCAATCATTCAAAATCAAAAGGGCATTTTTCTAAGGACAAAGTTGAGAAGGGTTAGGAAGGTGGGTGGAAGCACGGGGAGGAAGCAGGATAACTGTTGATTCATGGAGGCGATTGTAATCATTGTGATGAAACAAAGCGTATGATTCATTGAATGTAGGGTTGATGATATTGTCTGTAAACATTCACTCAATTCACAATAAAAAGTTAAAATAATAATAGGAAAAAAAATGTTAAAGAATGTCAGTTTGAGGACAAAGGTGGACCTTACCTTTTCAATTATCTCATATACATGTGAAAGCCGACAGTGAATAAGGAAGACCCAAGAAGAATTGATACATCTAAATTATGGTTTTGGCTAAGAATATTAACCATACTATGGACTGCCAGAAGAACAAACAGATCTGTCTTGGAAGACGTATAGCTGGAATACGTTGTCTCATGTACTTTGGACATGTTATAAAGAGGTACCAGTTCCTGGGGAAGGACACCATCTTTGGCAAAACAGACAAGACCCTCAACAAGCTTGATTAACACAGTGGCTGCAACAATGGGTTCAAATATGCAGTGATTGTGAGGATGGCACAGGACCAGGCAGTATTTTCTTCTGTTTTGCACGGGATTTCTTTGAGTTGGAATTCATTCAATGGCACCTAAAAACAATCTAAAAAATACAAAGCACATATTTAGGATATGTGCTTCTGGTCAAATGAATTAGTAGGAATCATATTCACTCTTTCACCTGAAACAACCAAAAAGTGGAAAAATTATATAAAACAATTTTTGTGAAATATAGGATATCAGACAGTGGAAGACAGTGATGGGAAATCAATTATGTAATTCCAATGATTGCCCCAACTTCTCACATTGAAATCATTTCCAGGCCAGAGGGCTGAGGGAGGAAGAAAACATCCCAAGTATTATTAAAGAAAAAATATGCATTCAAGAAGCTCATTGAACCCCAATCAATGTAGAAAACCACCAAGACATACCATAATCTAACTTTCCAAAACTAAAAAGACTTGGAAAGAAAGCTCTGAGTACTCAGCAGAAACTATGTAAGCAAGAATGCAATGGGATGGCATATATAAACTTCTGAAAGACATAAATTGCCAACCAAGAATTATAAGCCCAGCAAAATTGTCTCTCAAATATGATGGCAAAATTAAGACATTTCCAGATCACAAGGTTATAAAATTAGAAATTAACAATAGGAAGATAAAGGAGAAAAATTAAATATATGCAAGTTGAACAGCGAACTCCTGTTTTAAAACTACTGGGTAATATAAAAAATTTTTAAATGAAATTAACAAAAATCCTTAAATCAAACAAGAATGAAAATACAACATACCAAAACCTTCAGGTCACAGCAAAAGCCATGCTCAGATGGCAAATTATAGTAAAAAAGTATATAGCCAAAAAGAAGAAAGAACCAAAATGAATATCTTAACCCAACATCTCCAGTAATTAGAAAACAAACAACAAAATAATCAGCCTCCAGAAGAAAATAAGCAATAAAGATCAGAAAACAATAAATGAAACTGGAAACAGAAAAACAATAGAAAGAATACACACGACAGGAAGTTGATTCTTTGAAAAGATTAATAAGATTAACCACTGGCAGATCTTACAAAGGAAAGGAGAAGATATAAATAACATGAATAAGAAATGATTGGGTGATTTCATAACAGAACCAATAACAAAAGGATAATAAGAGAATATTATGAAGAACTGTGCTCCAATAAATTTGCAAACCTAGGTGAAATGGACAATTTTCTAGAAACACATTATCTATCTAAACTAACACAAACTGAAGTAAATACAGCTCAGGTTTCATTGGCAAATTCTACCAAACTTTAAGAGAAGAGTTGATACCAATTCTCTTCAAACTATTCCAGACTATAGAAAAGGATGAAATACTTCTGAATTCATTTCATGATACCAAAACCAAGCAAATACATCTCTAAAAAAGAAAATTATAGATGAATACCCCTCATGAACATGTTGTTGTTAAGTGCCATCAAATCAGTTCCAACTCATAGCGAAGTTGTATAGGGTTTCTGAGTCTGTAAATCTTCATGGGAACAGAAAGCTTCATCTTTTCCCATGGAGTGGCTGGTGGGTTCAAACGCCAACCTTGTGGTTCACAGTCCAGTGCTTATCCTATAAAGCTACTATGCATCTCTTTCATGAACATAGATGCAAAACTTCTCAACAAAATTGTAGTTCATCAAATTCAACAGCTTATCAAAAAAATAATACATCATAAAAAATAATACCTGGTATGCAAAAGGTGGTTCAACTGTAAACTAAAAATCAGGAACCACATTATCATATAAACTGCTGTAGAAAATTCATTTGTCAAAAGCCACACCACTCCTGATTAAAAAAATAAACAAAAAATCCACAACACTCAACAACATAGAAATAGAAGAACACTTCTCCCTAAGATCAAGAACAAGGCTAAGATGCCTGACCTTGCCATTTTTGTTCAACGTTTTATTGGAAATCCTAACAATTGCAATAAAAATTAAAAAAAAAAAATTAAGCAAAAATATTGGAAAGGGAAAAGTAAATCAAAACATTAAAATGGATAAAATTTCAAAGGCTGACAATACTAAAAGAAAGACATGGAGATTTGGAGCTCTCACACAATTTTAGTGAGAATATACATGATGCAACTTTGGAAGTTTGTCAGTTTCTTAAAAAGTTAAAAACAATTCTACCATTCAAACCAGGCTTAAAGTACTAGGCCCAAGAGAAATGAAGCACAGATCCACATAAAGACTTATGCATTAATATTTTGGAAACTTGGTGGCTCTTAAAAACAACAAAAACAACAGACACAACTAACAGCCAGCATTCTCCTTGTGAACAGGAACCAGATAAGGATGCCCTTTATTGCCACACTATTCCTGGTGTGGTGCTGTGGGTTAATGCGCCAGACTGCAAAACTGTTTGAACTGTAAGGTCGGTGGTTCAAGCTCACTAGCTGCTCCTTAGAAACCCTATACAGGGTTGCTATGGGTCGGAACAAACTGGACAGCACTTAACAACAACAATATTCAATATTGTGCTGGAAGTCTTAGCCAGAGGCATAAGACATGAAAGAGAATTAAAGACACAGCAGAGGCTGGGATGGCTCAAGAGGCCTAAGAGGCTGAGAGGCCAAGGAACCAGGAAGTAGGAGCTGAAGAGCCAAGGAGCATGGAAAATAGAGATACTTGGACCTTAAAGGGAAGAACAATGGCCTGTTGAGCTTCAAAATGTGAGGCAATTGTTTC